CAATACGTTTACTATTAAATTTTTCCATCATCAATAAACAAGGCCATTATCTTTTGCTGGAACTTGAATTTGAACACGTGCACCGTCTTTTTTAGCAGTGTAGTATGCCGGCAAAAATTTATTGGGTGCGTGCTTGCTGCAGCATTATCGACAAGTGTTCGTGTACAATTAACTTTGTGTCTTTCAATAAATTGATAACCGCGAATGATAACATCATTTTTCCTGACTATATCTATCCAATTCGACTTGCCCTGATATTCTATTGCAATGTTCTTTGTCCAGCATGCCACGTAGTGCTTAAATCTCAATTCCATAAATTTTCTTTTTGTGTGCATGACATCAATTTTACTCTTCAACTCATTAACTTCGTCAATGTTCAAATTTAGTTTCATAGTTATCGAAGATATGTCATTTGTTAATTCTGCTTTCACATCAGAAATTTGTTTTCCAGTTCTTGATATTGGTTGGTAAGAATACTTGCTAAAATCTTCAGTTCAGGTGATGAAAGCTCAGAAAATTTTAGGGTGGGTGGGTGGTAAGAATACAAATCTTGTTTATTCACCGGAAGTTAACACGCTGTCGTGTCATTGTTGTCGGCTGCAAGAGGCCTGTATCAGCGTATGGTCGAAGGGAGACAACTTGCAGTGTCTCCAATACGGAATGTTTGCGACTTTTTTCAGTGCAATCGTAAAATTTGAAGTGTTCGAAGTAATATGTAACGATTAACATGATTGGCTGGGTTTGTTCTGATGGGCCAATCAGTGGAGAGCTTTCGTTTTTCTTGTCACCAATGGCGCCATTTTATTGTTTCAATTGTTAGCTGCGCTGGATCGTTGTTTACAAGTTTCATGTTGCAATAATGGTGAAATTGGTTACAAAAAACAATGCGTCAGCCGTGCAAGAGATCAATAAAGACATTAGGAACAAATTTTGTTGGGCATGGCTTGACAAGGAAGTGACTTTGACTGTGCGAAGCAGGAAGGAAGATGAAGTGGTAACTGAAAAATTGAGTGACTTCATCGGCAAGTGCGAGGTTTTCGGAAAGGCGCAGTGTCTCTATTGTAACGATTTGATCAACTACGGTTCTCGGGTAAGAGTGGCTTTAACAGAACACGCGAGAAGAAAAAACTTTGCGAGAAGGTTGCCTTCAGATGAGTGAACTTTTCACTGGGATCCATTTTTAAGAAAAGTAACACATCCCCGCAACAAGATGTCAAACAGCCAGGCCAGCTGACATCGTTAATGAAAACTGGGAATATTAATTTGGGTTTGTCCGTCCATCCATACGTACGTACAACAAGCAGGTGTTGAGTGTCATTTAGCTGGTAAAATAATAAATCATCTTTTTGACTCCCATGTGCGAAGCACATAATGAGAGTCTTTGCAGTTAGTGTGTCTGTGTGTGTGTATGTGTGTGTACTTGGATTGTTATATGTTACGAGGACAAAAATACAGATATATATAGCAACTTCCGAGGACATACACACCTTCCGAGGACCTTTTTCATAGTCCTCGGAAAACATAATTTATATTAATAGTTAATTCGATTATTAATACGTTTTGCGTAGCTTAGGTTTAGTATCGGGGGAAGGTATGGTTCACGTTATATTAATATTAATATAATTGTACCATACCTTACCTCGATACTAAACCTAAGCTTCGCAAACATTTCTATGTTCAGTCACGGGATATTCAACTCTTGTTTAATTAAACTTAATTAAAATGCAATTCTCCATTGTATTGCATTGTAATTGAGTTTAATTAAACTCCAATTAAAACGCAACCCTATATAGGAACGCGTTTTAATCGAGTTCATATCGCAACTACTAGTATATGTGTCTGTGTATGTGTGTATGTGTGTCCGACTGTTCCACTGCTATCTCAAGAACCATACATCGGTTTTTGATGAAACTTGGTGCATAGATGCTCTGGGCCAATGCGCATATTTGATTAGGTTTTGGTAAAAATCCATGCTCGTTAATTACCTAATTTGCATGATAATTAGCTAATTTTTAGCTGTTCTATGACTGTTCCACTGATATCTAAAGAACCACTCATTGGATTATGATGAAACTTGGTACATAGATGCTCTGAACATATGCGCAGATTTGATTAGTTTTTGGTAAAAATCCGTGCATATTAATTACCTAATTTGCATGTTAATTAGCTGATTTTTAGCTGTTCCATGATTGTTCCACTGATATCTAAACAACCACTCATTGGATTTTGATGAAACTTGGTACATAGATGCTCTGAACATATGCGCAGATTTGATTAGTTTTTGGTAATAATCCGTGGATACTAATTACCTAATTTGCATAATGATTAGTCAATTTTCGTTCTTTCCACTGATATCTCAAGTACCAATTATCACATTTCAATGAAACTTGGTACATAGATGTCATATGACACTGCACAGACCTGATAGTTTTTATGGTAATATCAGTTCATATT